AAGATTTAAAACATTAGGTTTAGTATTTTTCACCTATTTATTTTAATTAAATGAATTATTAATAATTAAAAATCCAAATAAATAAATAAAAATGATAAAAAACTTCCCTTTGGGCCAAATGGTCGTGCACATGTCTTGGATAATGATTCTTGGAGGAAAAAGAGGCCCATTAGCATTTTTAGGTCATTTGAAGCAATGTTGACTTTTCAAAATATCCAAAAATTTCCCAACTTCCACAAGGCATAACTTGCTCAATGTTTAAGCTTTGCTCATGTTCTTGGACATTTTGGAAAGGTCTTTGAGTCCTCTAACCAATGTCTTTGGTCCCATGTCATTTTGATTTACCAATCTCAAGTTATGGCCTTTGACTTAAAGTCCCTTTTTGTTGACTTTTGAAAATGACCTATAATGTTGAAATTGATAACTTTTTGTGAGAGCATTTCTTGGACTTGAAGTGTGAAGAGGAGTTGTAGGAAATGTCTTTCTCTTCAAAATGAGCTTTGGATGGAATTTTTTTGATAATCCATGTGAAAGTTATGCCTTAGTCAAGTTACAGTTGACTTTTTCAACTGTCCAAATATGGAAACTTTTGCATCTTGATGATTTTTGGGCCAAGCTTTGAGAATCATGATCAAGCATTGATCAAATGATGTTTATGGCTTCAAAATGAGATGTTGACCAAAAATTTGAACTTTTGACTGTCAAATGACCATTTTGCCCCTACAGTTGACTGTAGTGCAATTAGGGTTTTTGATTGTGCAATTTTGTGCTGTAAGTCTTGAAACTTGGTATGAGGATGCTTGACCTTATTTGTAGGCATGTGGGACTTGATTGGACCCTTGGAAACTTCATTTTCTTTGTCAGATCCAAAACCCTAATTTTTGACTGTTAGGAGGCCCTTGAACTGTGCAACCCTTGGGGAATTTTGAAGCATGCTCTTTGCAAATCTTGAAGAATATGGGAGGGCAAATTTTGGGGTACAACAGACTCGTATGCATTTTTAGTACCGGTTTCGCTTATTTTTGTCTTGTTATGCCAATATTTTTATTCTATTTCAGATACATCCTACCATAAAGCTCACATGCGAAAAAGGACGAGAAATGGCCAAGATACTGAGAAGAATGAAAGAAATCATAAAAAAAGGGCAGAAAACAGATTTTTCAACTTGTGGCCCTCGCCACAGGAGCCAAGCAAGTGTGGCCCTCGCCATGACTCATTCCTGCAGGCCACGTACTTGGTTTCTCCACGTCACCAACTCACAAGCATAGTCTCCTAATATTTCTCCGCAAGCAACATCTCCCGATAAATTATCCACGTTACCACCAGTGCTTGATTATTCTTCATGGAAGTTACGATAATTGAGGATAGAGGTTATAAAAGAATAGTTATTCCATGTTGAAGGGGTCGACCATTTTTTGGTGGCAAGCAGTGTATTGTTCTCAGTTTTTAGGAAGAGAATTACATGTAAAAGTGATAGCTCTTCCAGTTTAGAGGAGCTATCACAAGTCAAGTTTTAGGAGTTTGCCATTTTTTAAATTTTGTATTGGATACTTCAAGTGTGCCGGCATATTTTCAATTGGTTTCAAGTTATTGTACGCAGAGATAATTTCAGCAGTAATTCCAATTTCGTTTACATGTTTCTTTTTTATCGCATTTCTCATTTCTATTGTTTTGTTTGTTTAATTTAATTGTCATGGTGTTCTTAATTACGATCTTTATGTTTAGTTTGTTTACGCTTAATTCCATGTTTAGCTAATTTGTCTTGAGTCCGATACGTGAGGATCGTCGTTTCCGACGGGACTCGGTAACAAGTTGGCTTAATATATGTTTGAAAATTTCATTCCGGTCTTCGTTTTTAAACTTAATTTAAATAGTTTTATCACGAGGGTAAGAGGTTACTTAACACGATTTTTCCACGAGAGTGGGAAATTGACTAAGGTTCAAGTCGGCACTTCAAGAGCGTGGGAGTCGAACCAGATAGTAGAAACTAGGCATTAATCCTAAACACAACGAGAGCGCTTTAGGATTAATTAGAATTTGTTCCGTTTTCAAAACGCATTCCTCGATTTGAATGGGCGAGCGAGAGGAAGATCCCATGGTCAAGGAACGTGACTTTATTCAAAACCACGAGAGTGTGAAGTTTAGTCTTTAAGCTAATATTTTCTACTAAATATATTTTTAACATTATTATAAGCTAACAAGTTAGAGTCCCTGAGGTACACGGAATACACATTTCAGTCTCTCTTTTCTTATATTTATCTTAATCTTTATTTTATTTCAGTTTTAGTTGATAGTTTCCCCTAATCCAATTATTCATTAGCCTTAGATTTACACAGTAACATTAGATAATAATAAGTTTGATTTTTGGTCATTTAGGTTCGATATCTGTTAAAACTACGTGATATGATTGTACACTTGAGTCACGAATCCTATAGACTCTTAAAGTCGCGATCAACAACGAGATTATATCTTGGGGTGAACATATTGTGTCAACCACTGAAATGCAACAAGGTGACTCGTTAGGGTCGCTCCTTTTTGCTCTTGTGTTACACTCACTCATTCATCAAGTTATAGACAATTGTAAGCTTTTTCTCCATGCATAGAATCTTGATGACGAGATCATTATAAGGGATTCACAAGAGGTGACTAAAGCCCTTTACATCATTAAGGAGACATGTTTAGGTTTATCTCGAATTGAATATTCGTAAGACTAAAGAGAGCTTCAAAAGTTATTGAGTCAATGCATTTTCAACCACAATAAGGGATCCTCATAGTGAGATTTTTCCACTTCAATCTTGCATGAGTATTGTCGAGTTTGTTTTTTCGTCTAAGAATGTGTCAACCTATATATATATATATATATATATATATATATATATATATATATATATATATATATATATATATATATATATATATATATATATATATATATATATATATATATATATATATATATATATATATATATATATATATATATATATATATGGATGAAACAGTTATTTGGTTTGATAAAGAGTAGTGAAGGAAAATTAAAGACATCATAGTTGGTGGAAGTTCTTTCTTCGGAGACGTTCAATGGAGAATGACTTTACTACTCATTAGTGTTGGGGGATTGGATTTGTATTCGCCAATAAAGATCGCCTCATACGCTTTTGTGACTTATATGGTCTAATATTGGCTTTTATAGGATCATATATTGAAAGACAATGGGATATATGATATTAGTGTTGCGATTTCAAATTTTGATCTTAGTAGTTTTACTAGTAAAAACCGAATCACTCCTAAAGCATATGTTTTGCCAAGTGCCCTTTTTATAAAATAGTTCAGGACATGGATGTAAAATTTGACAGACCATAAAATAAAAAGCAGTTTTTGGTCGTTTGCAAGCTGCACATGTGACAAACTTACTCCTTGCTATTTCTATTAATCGACTGGATCAACATATGTCATCGGTGAAGCATTGTACTATCATGAGATATCACCTTATGATATCATTATTTCCTATTGATGAAATTTGTCATGTTTGTCGCAATAATGTCATCGATGGAGTATCGTATTATTATGAGATACCACCTTATGATATCCTTATTTCCTATTGATTAAATTTGTCATGTTTATCGCAAGGTATGTTTGAACACGTTTGGAGAATATAAATTTGTTGTAGGAATCTTTCAGGCTTCAAATACCGACATGACCATGTGAGTTTCTTGACTGACCAACATGAAAAGAGATTGGCACTTAAGTCATCAGATGTTCTAGTGTACAAATATATAAGAGGGACTTGACAAAGATTTCTCCAATGATAAACTAAAAAATAGAGATTTTATCGTGGGACAGACAACCCTTAAAGTCATTTTAAGTAAAGTGGACAAAATGAGAAAACGAATTTTCTACAACCAACATATTTTCATACAATTTATTTGACACTTAGAGTTCAAAGGTTTGTGCATAGAAATGTTGAATCTCCTAAATTAATGGATAGTTTTTAAGATAAATAATTGTCATCTAAAAAAGATAACGACATAGTTTGTTGGATTATTGCTTTTTATTCATTTATAAACTTTGATAATTAAACCATAAACAATGTGTTAAATAATGTGTTGCTAGTATTCCTCTTTATTTAAATTCAAATAGATCAAACTAAATGAATGAATGAATGGTCTATTTGATTTTGTGAAGCACCTGAATTTCGAAGATTTAGATATTTTATTGTCCTTCGTCTCATGATTTCCTTTCTACACAATATCAACCATTTCCAGTACATTTTTATCATGTTCTCACCATAAAAAAACGTGATTTCAAGAGGTTAAGAGAGGAGAGGAGGAGAGATAGAGAGAGAGGGGAAAGGTTTATGAGGGTTGTAAGTTTGAGAAGAGGGAAGAGTGGGGAGTGGTTATTAGTCATTACAAGAGAGTGAATTTGTAGATATATTACCATGTCACCTTGAAATTCTTTAATCCAATGGAAAGTAAAAGTATTAATGACTAATAACTTGTTCCACTGATGGGAACGAGTGAAACATGTACATGTACTGTTTGATTGTAAAACCTATTAGTTGTATGGTATAAAACCTTTACATTTTCCATTGTATTTAAGAATGCCAATGTAACTAATGGTAACCTATCTACAAAATCACACTCTTATCTATTCGGTCTCCACCAAGTCACTCTCACCAATAGCACTATATGCTTTTATTGGACCTCAAACTTGTGTTACGTCTATGGCTTTCAATTTATCTAGGAGAGATCTTCATCAGAGGTAGTATTTTCTACTGCCAGAAAATTGCAGATAGTTCAAGAAGGAATTTAGTTTTCGCATTTGATGACATGCTTAAGGCTCATTCATAAACCAATAAACAAAATACAGCATGCAATTAGAAAGCAAAAAAATATATATTTAAATTCCATTACAATAACTTAAACCAGTTCAAGCGTAACAACACATTTTTGAAGAGTAAATGAAATCTAACAAAAATAATTAGAGAATGCTTAAATTTAAAATCTTCTTCCAGGAGCACCAGCAGCACCGCCACGACCAAAGGGGATCGGTTGAACCGGTTGCGGATCAACCTGAACGACACCAGGAATCTCGGACATCCCAAGAGCGGCAAGCATCTCAAGAGTTTCCTTATCAACTTCGATATGATCCGTCCCAATGGCAGACACATCAGGAACAAAGTCCATACGACGCTCGCGCTCCTCCTCCTGCAGCTTCAATGAGATTCCACGAACCGGTCCTTTCTGGATCCGCTTCATGAGGTGAGTGGAGAATCCTGCAATCTTGTTACGAAGCCTCTTGGTTGGGATCAGAGCAACCTCCTCAAGAATCTTCTTGTTCGTATGGAAGTCGAGTGTCATACGAGAGTAATACCTTTCGATTACCTGACGCGATGACTTCTTGACTGTCTTTGTACGAACACGGCCCATGGTTGTAACTTCCACTCGTGACTGCGTGCGGCTGCGGTAGGGATCACAGAACCGCGGCTGGATTTAGGGTTTCAGGTTATCAGTCGTTGGACAAAAATAAAAGAATATATTCGCCTTTTCGAATGGGCTTGGGCTTTAGGGTAACAACTTCACTTACAAAATTTCAACCCACTACCATCTTATTATTCCTAAACCCTACAAACCATTAAATAATTCAATTTTATTAACAAATATGTATTCCGTATTTTTTATGTATCTATCAATGAAAAATACTTGTCTCATGTCTTTTATATTAATCTATGACAAATATTTATGTCACGTTTTCTATATTTATCAATGAAAAATATGTTCCATTTTTTAATATATCAATGCAAATTATCTAATTCGATGTTGGTCATACATTTTTTAATTTAAATATTATTTTTTACTTTTTTTAATTAAATAGAAGAATATTTTAAATATAATATGCTTTTTTATATTCAAATTAAATATGTCCTATTTTCACATTTTAAAAGAGAAAAATGTATATGCATATAAATTATTCAAATCCAAGTTTTTTATGTTGACTATGATACTCGTAGAATCCAATTCCTATTTGTGCTTTCAAATAAATTTGAGAGATAAGTTAAATATATTTAACTATCATTTTTATTAGTTTTTTAATGATTTAAATTTTATATACCTTTATCTTTTCTATTTTTCCTTTTTCTTTATTCCATAATTTGTCTTTATTAAACAATGACTTCTTAACATATTGATTTTTAAAAAGTTAAAAAATTAAAGCGTAAAATAATATTAGTTATTTCAAATTTTTATTTTAAATAAATTATAAACATATGAAAACATTAATTATGGAAAAAATGTTTCTTTTGTTTATTTTAGTTATTTGCATTTATAGTTGGTGTATTGTATTTATTTTTACTTTTATGATGATGATATTAAAAAAAAAATGAGAAAAACAATAATATAGTGACAACATAAAATATTTTTATATTATAATCAATCATTAATGTGTACTCGATTAAATCATTTTTTTATTTAAAAAAATTAATGATATGATAGATGAATGATTTTTAATTGAATAACGGTGTAAAATTATTTTACATTATCAGTGTATATCCATTAAACTCAAAAAATATTAATTTTAACTAATTTTTAAGTCACAAATATTCTTCCGTGTATTATTTTAACAATAAACTATAATTAACTTACTAAATTATTTTCAACTTTATTTAGAAGATATAAAAATTAACTAAAAAATTAGTAATAAAAAAATTATACCCCATTTACAAAATATATGTTTGAAAGAATAAGTTCTACGTTTTTAATGAATAATATGTTTTAATAAATTATACTTGACAAATTAATAAAAGTTTTTTGAGAGATAGATTTGACAAGTTCGACTATATTTGCTAGTTTTTTTTTTTTTTATGATTTAAGGTTTGTGTCATTCATTTTTTATTTTTTTTCTTGTTTTATTCAATAAATTATCTTTATTAAAAAATAAATTTTTTATTGTCTGATTTTTAAAAAGGAAAATAATTAAAGTGTGAAAAATTATAATTAATATATTAAAACTGTACATATTTTTATGACGATAATATTAAAAAATAAAAAATAATTTTGACAAATTTTTAATCTAAAATATTTATCGAGTCCAAGTTGTTTATAATAAACTTAAATTATTATATTATAATTACTTAAATTTTATTTGAAAAATATTATAAATATATGAAAAAGTTAAGTATGAAAAAATATTTTTTTATATTTTAATTATTTATATTTATAGTTGGTGTATTTTATTTATTTTTATTTTAATGACAATGATATTAAAAATATTAATTTTAACTAATTTTTAATCTCAAATATTTGTCGAGTCTAAGTTGTTTTTAATAAACTTAAATTATTATATTATAATTACTTAAATTTTATTTGAAAAATAGTATAAATATATGAAAATGTTAAATATGAAAAAATAATTTTTTTATTTTGATTATTTATATTTATAGTTGACATATTGTATTTATTCTTATTTTTATGACGACGATATTAAAAATATTAATTTTAACTAATTTTTGAGTCACAATTATTCTACTGTGTATGTGTTATACCTCAAAATTTGCCCTCTCATTTATCAAGATTTTCCTCACAAGACTTCTTGGACTCCAGACAGGATTAAGATTTGCTCAGCTCAAGACCTCACCTTGCATTGATGTCCTGAAATTAGGGTTTGAGTTTGCATAAGGATTTTTGGACCATCAATGCCTCATGTGACTTTCATACACCATCTTGGACCCCTAAGATTGCTCATACCAAGTTTCAAGCCTTGAATCAAATTTTTGCCCAGTCAATTGGACAGTTGACCTAAAAATCAGTTTTATTGGGGAAAAAGTCAACCATGGCCAATTTACAGTCAAACTTCATAATTTTTGATCCACAACAACATTTTATACCCATGTACCATTTTATCAAGTTTGGATCACAACTCCTCAAGAAATTTGATCAGATCATCAAAATGGCAAAATGGTCAAAATTAGGGTTTTGACTGAGAAAGGGCAATTTCTGATTTTTAACCTAGCCAATGACCAATTGGGTTCAAGCATGATTTCAAGGACTCAATAGCATCATCTTGACCTAATCACATAGTTCAAAAGATCTCAAATGCATTGGATTGACATATGAATTTTCCAATCAACTGATCAAAAATCAACTGTACACTGAAAAGTCAAACTTTGACTTTTTGGTCAAAATCAAGTGCCAAAGGTCATAATTCATCAAGATATGTCAAAATGTGAAACTTGTTGACCAAGAAACCTAAAATTGCAAAGTTAGGGTTTTAATTTGAAATTTTTCATAACTTAGAATTTTTCCAAGTGTGGAGAATTTCTTATTTTTTCCCAACTTTTCACAACTTTTACACCATGATGCAATTGTATTCAAAGAAAGCTTCTAACATGAAAGTTGTAGTCCTCCATGAAATATACAACTTTGCATCACAAAGTTTTCTCAAAAGATGTTTGGATCTCAAGTTATGATTTTATGAATAGGGGTCCATAAACTAAATAACTTAGTGAAATTTTGCCCTAGTTTAGGCAGGTTTTTAACCCAAATTCATGGACATTTTTCACCTAGTTCCAAGAGGTATCTCAAAATGCATTTCAAATATGTATTGTAGAGCATGTTACAAGCTTTCCAAAATATCCAAGAACTCTCCAAGATCATTTGTAGTTAGGGAGAATCGAAGAAGAGAAAATGGCAATTTGTCACTTTTGTTCAAGCCATGTTTACAATGCTTCAAGTTGTAAATCAGTTCCTAGCATGCTTGTACCTTGCATTACAGGTCCTGGTCCCTTCTAAACTCCATAATTGAATTCTAACTCAGTGGTTAAAGCCTTTGTTTTCACCTTTAGAGCATTGTACAAGGGTTTAATCCATAAATGGCATAAAATTCACAATACCATTTTGATAAAGCATGCTTTTTGCAACTTTGCAATTCTTGAGCCATGGACCTGATCTTTTGCTGCAGGAAATATCCACAAATGCCAGGAAAAGTTTACCAACTCCTTGCAGCCCTAGAACTAGCAATTACAAGCAAAGTGGCAAAAGTCAAGATAACTTGTGCATCTGATAAAGAGAAGACTTGGCTTCATTCTAAATAACTTCAGAAACTTGTCACAAGCCAATACACGATTTCCTAACATCCCAAACACTCTCAAATACCAAAACCACGTTTTTCTTCCCAAACAGGGAAGCTTCTGCAAAATCCTTGTCAATTCCATTTTGGCTCGTACGTTTTGCCTCTCAAGACTTCAAACACTTTACATACATCCTACCTAAACTATCCAAGCCATTGCACTGCAACTGTGTGCCCTATTTTAGCCATCACCATTTTCATTTTTGAAGGTTGCAGGTTGACTTCTACAAGGAGTTTCAAGCATCCTCAAGGCAAGCTGAGCATTGGAATAGCTTGATGGAACTTCAAGGAAGCTCACACGATCTTCAGGCCTCACTCAAAGTCCCCACAATTTCATATCCAAATTCAGCTGAACAAGGTATTTTTCAAATCTCTATCTCCTTATTTAGGCATCCTTAAGTCACGATTTATGAAGCAAAGATGTAGTCCTTAACTTGCTGAAGTTGTACATATGCATAGTTGTTATTTATATTAACTGAGTAGTGAGAATTTGAAGCTTGAAGTTCATGAAAAATTTAGGTCAGAAATTAGGGGTGATAAAATTCTCCTTGATCTTTGAGTGTTAGGTCACAAACTTTATATCACTTGAATCGTGAGATCATGAGCTACATTTTTTGTGTTATAAGTTTTTGATTTTATGCAAGTTAGAGCAAGATACAAGTTGAAGGCAAAACGCACGCAAAACGTTGGCTGGAGGTCAGGGACGAAGCTGGCTTAGGCCTGGCGCGCTTGGGCTTGCTGTTTTTCTTCTCATACCCCCTGATCCACTATTTGCACCCCCTGACCATTTTCATTTTATTTTTATATTTTCTTGCATATTTTATATTTTTGACTTGTATTTATTTTTTTATGAACTTAAAAAAATCACAAAAATATTTTCTTTATTTTTTAAATTTTTATTTTATTTTTATTTTATTTTTTGCATAATAAAATAGTTTACTAAATAAATAGACCTTTATTTTCATAAATAAATTGTAAATACATTTAGTAAATACTTAATATTTTTATTTTATTATTTTACACATAAAATAATTATTTTCATACATATTTTAATTTTTAATATTTGTACATAGTATTATTTATTATTTCTTAAACAAAAATGGACAAAAAAATGAATAATATAGAACATATTTTCTTTTAAATCAAAATTAGGGTTTCCCCTTTCAAAAAATAACAATATTATTTTTCTTATTTTAGGACTTAAATAATTTTATTTTTACATACATAAAATAAATACAAAACATTTTGCATAAATATATTTTATTTGCATATTTAAATAATTGTATGTTTATTTATTTATTGAGCA